GATAAACTAGAGCAATATGTTACAGAAGTATGACTCATCAACGATAAACTAGAGCAACATGTTCCCGAAGTATGACTCATCAACGATAAACTGGAGCAACATGTTACCGAAGTATGACTCATCAACGATAAGCTAGAGCAACAGGTTACCGAAGTATGACTCATCAACGATAAACTAGAGCAATATGTTACAGAAGAATGACTCATCAACGATAAACTAGAGCAACAGGTTACCGAAGTATGACTCATCAACGATAAACTAGAGCAACAGGTTACCGAAGTATGACTCAACAACGATAAACTAGAGCAACAGGTTACCGCAACAACGATAAACTAGAGCAACAGGTTACCGAAGTATGACTCATCAACGATAAACTGGAGCATCATGTTACCGAAGTATGACTCATCAACGATCAACTAGAGCAACATGTTACCGACGTATGACTAATCAGCGATAAACTAGAGCAACATGTTACAGAAGTATGACTCATCAACGATAAACTAGAGCAACAGGTTACCGAAGTATGACTCAACAACGATAAACTAGAGCAACATTTTACCGAAGTATGACTCATCAACGATAAACTGGAGCAACATGTTACCGAAGTATGACTCATCAACGATCAACTAGAGCAACATGTTACCGAAGTATGACTAATCAGCGATAAACTAGAGCAACATGTTACAGAAGTATGACTCATCAACGATAAACTAGAGCAACAGGTTACAGAAGTATGACTCATCAACAATAAACTAGAGCAACAGGTTACCGAAGTATGACTCATCAACGATAAACTAGAGCAACATGTTACAGAAGTATGACTCATCAACAATAAACTAGAGCAACATATTACAGAAGTATGACTAATCAACAATAAACTAGAGCAACATGTTACAGAAGTATGACTTATCAACGATAAACTAGAGTAACATGTTACCGAAGTATGACTCATCAACAATAAACTAGAGCAACATGTTACAGAAGTATGACTCATCAACGATAAACTAGAGCAACATGTTACCGAAGTATGACACAACAACGATAAACTAGAGCAAAACATGAACAAAGTAAAGATGTAGGATTGTAAAGGGACCCGTGAAAAACTACAAGTGTTCTGAGGGATAAGCGTCTTCTAAATCTGAGTTAGATCCAGGTATTGCCAGGTGCTCAAAGTGACCACACAAATAAAATATAACCCAATGAGATTACAACGGAAATAATCTTAATAGATAAACGTTACTGTGTAACAATCATGTAAATACTTTACGCCTATATCAATCAAGCGCGAAAAAATGTGGTTAAATGAAGTTATTTTTTTAAAGTTTGGGCAACACCCTAAATAAATTCCTGATTCCGCCCCTAAATTCCGAGTCATCCGCGGACAAACTCTATAACAATGATGTCGACTTTTGAAGATTGCTGACCTTCTTCCTCAGCAGTTATATACCAGCAACTCTTGTTTATTGATTTTATAAGTTGCACTTGATTCGCTACTTCATAGAATGTTCCTTGTTTCGGCATTGTTTTAAGTACATGTATACGCGCGCTGTTGGGCGATAATTGACGTAGCCGGTGTTTACTACTAGTGAAGCTGCCATCTACGGTTTACGGTCGATGATTTGATCTCTACAAGGCTATGAGATAAATGTCTGTCTTCATGAAAGTCTGTGTCTTAGTTTGTTGGTGATCTATACTCACTATAACGTCATGAAGGTCGAACTAAATATTAAACTGTGATATTGTACTAGAAACTCGCACTGATACGGAATCTCGATAAATGTACCAAAAAATCGCTAACCACCTCCAAAATGCTATAGACTTCCAGATACATACAAATAACAGAGAGCAGATCCAAACATTCCGCATAGAGGTGGATGTGAGTAGGCGTTCTTCATCTGATTGACTTCCTCCGTCGATGCCGACGATTACGGAAGTAGGGTCATTGTGCTATTGTGCGTTAATTATGTACAGTGATGTTTTTTTTTTTTTTTTTTTTTTTTTTTTTGTTATTTGCTATTAGTATAGGATAAAAACAGGTTAAAAGCAGTGAGTGAGTGTTAGTTATGTTGTAGGTTTTGTATATGTTCGATTATGTTATATGTGGTGCATGTCCTGAATTCTGCTAGTGTATTTGATTGAATTATTGTTGTGATGTCGAGGTTCCATTGTATTATGGCGTATGGAAAGAATGAGTGTCTGTATGTGTCTTTGGATGTGTAGATATGTCTGTAACTAAGGTCGTGTCCTTGACGTGTTCTGGGGTCTGCGGGGATGAGATTGTTAGTGTGTATTGCTACTTGTTGGTGTATTATTTTGTAGAGAAGAATAATGCGTGTTCTTGCTCTGCGTGTGTGTAGTTTTGATCATTGCAAGTTGTGTGGTTAGAAGTGGGGTGGGCGGGTCTCACCATTCCAGAATTCCCGTTAAATTTTATGACGCATTTGGACTGAAAAATAAGTAACATACAACTTTCCTAGCACTGACCACGGCAGTTATTTCTCAAACCTATACACTTGAAAAAGGGGCGAGGATCAGGTGAGGGACCAACCACCTCCTCCCTGACAGAACTTCATTACATGTAACGCATTGATAACCAGTTAGGTTAAGGTAAAGCAAAGACCAGGTGATCATTGACCTGACTGGACACTTGCTTACATTGACAATAGAGAGATTAATCCCCTTTTGTTTAGGCAAGTGTAATCAGTGGGTTTTTTGCAACACCCTCAGGCCTACAGCTATTACAATTGCTGGCTAAAGGAAGTCATAGAAAACCTTTGTTCAACTTTTTAATTAGAAATTCACATATTAAATGGAGGAAAATCTTCGAATATATTTGGGTCAGATTAATTTTGGACAGAGAAAAAGGGTGTTGCCCGGGCAACTATAGGGAATTTGTGTTAGTCCATATTCATACGACAAGAGAACATCGTTCAACTGTTTTGCATAATTTGTCAATTCCTACTTTGAAGTTCGAGAAAAAATATAGCAGTTCAAATGAAATCCCCGACTGACTTAGCATCACTTCATCACGACACAACCTAATGGACCGAGTCCGTTACACTTAGAGACAACACAGGAAGTGATGTTTCACTGAGAGACAACACAGGACGTGAGGTTACACTGAGAGACAACATAGGACGTGATGTTACACTGAGAGATAACATAGGACGTGAGGTTACACTGAATGACAACACAGGAAGTAGTGTTACACTGAATGACAACACAGGAAGTAATGTTACACTGAGAGACAACACAGGAAGTGATGTTACAATGAGATACAACACAGGAAGTGATGCTACACTGAATGACAACACAGGAAGTGGTGTTACACTGAATGACAACACAGGAAGTGATGTTACAATGAGATATAACGCAGGAAGTGATGCTACACTGAATGACAACACAGGAAATACTGTTACACTGAGAGACAACACGGGAAATAATGTTACACTGAGAGACAACACAGGAAGTGATGCTACACTGAGAGACAACACAAGAAGTGATGTTACAATGAGATACAACACAGGAAGTGATGTTACATTGAGATACAACACAGGAAGTAATGTTACAATGAGATACAACACAGGAAGTGGTGTTACAATGAGATACAACACAGGAAGTGATGTTACATTGAGAGATAACACAGGAAGTAATGTTACAATGAGATACAACACAGGAAGTGATGATACACTGAGAGACAACACAGGAAGTGATGATACACTGAGAGACAACATAGGAAGTGATGCTACATTGAGAGACAACACAGGAAGTGATGTTAAACTGTGAGATAACACAGGAAGTAATGTTACATTGAGAGACAACACAGGAAGTAATGTTACAATGAGAGACAACACAGGAAGTAATGTTACAATGAGAGAAAACACAGGAAGTAATGTTACAATGAGAGGCAACACAGGAAGTAATGTTACAATGAGAGGCAACACAGGAAGTAATGTTACAATGAGAAACAACACAGGAAGGAATGTTACAATGAGATACAACACAGGAAGTGGTGTTACAATGAGATACAACACAGGATGTGATTTTACATTGAGAGATAACACAGTAAGTAATGTTACAATGAGATACAACACAGGAAGTAATGTTACAATGAGATACAACACAGGAAGTGATGTTACATTGAGAGACAACACAAGAAGTAATGTTACAATGAGAGACAACACAGGAAGTAATGTTACAATGAGATACAACACAGGAAGTGATGTTACACTGAGAACAACACAGGAAGTAATGTTACACGACAGTACGACAGTTGATAAGTGAATATAGGCCAGTGCACCTGTTGATAACGTCGTAGTTGTTGTTAACTCAAAACAGAAATAATTGGTGATTTAACAATTGTTAAACACAACTGGAACTTTTGTGTTTGTAAAATGTCATTGTTTTCTCTGTAGGAGACCACTGATAATTTCAGACCTCGACAAATAAGGTGGAGTACTTCGGGAGACGAAAAAGGCGGAAATGTTGATCTGTATGCGTGTGTGGAACCGAGTTTGATATATGTTAGTTAAAACAATAGAAACAAACTTATATATCATATACATATGGTTGCGTTGTTTAAAATCAGGAAAAATGTACAGTATTCATTCAAAAGCGATTTCTAAATTTTCATAAATCGTGATAGTTAACACACGTCAACCGTGAGCTTCGATGATCGTACACTAATTTCGCCTTTATGTTTTCTTTTGCAGACGGTGTAACATTGTGCGATCCCACAACTGTAATGCATGATGTTTTTATGAGTAAATAAAACAGGTAGTGGTGCTACACAAAATGACAATACAGGAAGTAGTGCTACATAAAATGACAAAACAGGAAGTGGTGCTACATAAAATGACAATACAGGACGTGGTGCTACATAAAATGATAAAACAGGAAGTGGTGCTACATAAAATGATAAAACAGGAAGTGGTGCTACATAAAATGATAAAACAGGAAGTGGTGTTACACTGAGAGACAACACAGGAAGTGATGTTACAATGGGATACAACGCAGGAAGTGATGATACACTAAGAGACAACACAGGAAGTGGTGTAATACTGAGAGACAACACAGGAAGTGATGTTACACGAAGAGACAACACAGGAAGTGATATTACAAAGAGAGATAATACAGGAAGTGACGTTACATAGAAAGACAACAAAGGAAGTGACACTATAGTATGATATATAACAGAAAAAACACAGAAAATTGTGATACAAAAAAAAGATAACAAAGGAAAAAATGCTACAAAATAAATAATACAGGAAGTGGTGCTCCATAAAAAGATTAGACAGGAAGTAGTGCTATATGAATAGAAAATACATGAAGAAATGCTACATGAATAGAAAAAACAGGACGTATTGCTACATAAATATATCATATAGGAAGTGGTGCTACAAAAATAGATAATACAGGAAGTGGTGTTATATTAATAGATTATACAGGAAGTAGTGTTACATTAATATATTATAAAGGAGGTGGTGCTACAATAGATGAAACAGGAAGTGGTGCTACAAAAACAGATTGTATAGGAAATGGTGCTACAAAATAGATTATACAGGAAGTGGTGCTACAATAGATGAAACGGTAAGTGGTGCTACAAAAGTAGATTATAGAGGAGGTGGTGCTACAATAGATGAAACAGGAAGTGGTGCTACAAAAAAAAAATTATACAGAAAAAGGTGTTAAAAAATAGATTATACAGGAAGTGGTGTTATAAAAATAGATTATACAGGAAGTGGTGCTACAATAGATGAAACAGGAAGTGGTACTCTAAATAGATTAAAGAGGAAGTGGCGTTAAAAAAAAGAATTATACAGGAATTGGCGCTACAAAAATAGATTATACAGGAAGTGGTGCTACAAAAGATAAAACAGGAAGTGTTGCTTCAAAAATAGATTACAGAGGAGGTGGTGCTACAATAGATGAAACAGGAAGTGGTGCTACAAAAATAGATAATACAGAAAGTGGTGTAACAAAAATAGATTATACAGGAAGTGGTGCTATGATAGATGAAACGGGAAGTGGTGCTACAAAAATAGATTATAGAGGAGGTGGTGCTACAATAGATGAAACAGGAAGTGGTGCTACAAAAATAGATTATACAGGAAGTGGTGCTACGATAGATGAAACAGGAAGTGGTGCTACAAAAATAGATTATAGAGGAGGTGGTGCTACAAAAATAGATTATACAGGAAGTGGTGCTGCAATAGATGAAACGGGGAAGTGGTGCTACAAAAATAGATTATAGAGGAGGTGATGCTACAATAGATGAAACAGGAAGTGGTGCTACAAAAATAGATTATACAGAAAGTGGTGCTACAAAAATAGATTATACAGGAAGTGGTGTTACAAAATTAGATTATACAGGAATTGGTGCTACAAAAAAAACCATATAATTGAGTGATGCGACAAATTTGGATACTACCGAAACAAATGTTATATCAATAAATAAAAAGGAAATGATACTACATAAATAGGTAAAACAAAGTGTTCGTACATATAGAATCACAAAAGGAAGTGTTGGTGCTTGGAGAAATATTGATATATTGGTGGTTCAGGAAGTGACCTTTAAGGAAGTAGTGTTTCCGGATGAGGGATTCAGTGAGTGATGGTTAATTGGTTGCTGAGAAAGTGGAGGTTCAGAGAGCCGGGGTTCAAAAAGTGGTGATCAGGAAATGATAATTTAGATATTGGTGTTTCAGGAAGTGATGGTAGAGGAAAAGGAGTTCTGCAACTGACGATGCAATAACTAATTGTTCAGAAGGTGTTGGTTCAGAAAGTGATTATTGTTGTTGAGGGGAAAAGGAATGAGAAAGTTAGAGCCAAGAAAACTGCCGTTCAGGAAGAGTTGAATCAGGATTGAAGTGCCTCTACAGCGGTCGTTCAGAAAGAGAGTATTTAGAAGGTGATAGACAAGATGGTAATTGTTCAGGAAGAAAAAAATAAAGAAATGGTTCAAAAATATTTTGGTTCGTGAAGTTCCTGATTGTTAAGGTAGTAAACACTAATCAAAATGAAAGAAGTTCTGTGACAAAACATGGTGGTATAGGCTGTTGGATTATTGCAAAGGAAGGTGGGATACGGTATCTGAAGAACGGAACGCGAGCATAGTAGAATAGTTGTTTTTAGATCGGAGAATTTGGAAAATGTTGTACTTGAAGTGATGACACAGGAAGTGGACGTACAAGAGATGATAACAACAGAAGTGGACGCACAAGAGGAGATGGAACCGGAAGTGGACGTATAAGAGGTGATTGACCGGAAGTGAACGTACAAGAGGTGATGGGACCAAAGTTATGGTACTGGAACAATGACATAAGGTATATATTTGGAATTGTTACGAGTGTATAAATTGAAGATCGAATTCAATTGCGGCTAGGAAGATTTCAAGATACCGTTGCTTGGAATGTAACGGCACACTACATACAATTATTAACCTGGATATTAGAGGGAGATAATTCGATAACACACGACTGACATTTACTGCTTATTCCGTACAATATGAAAAACCGGATGTTTGCTTTTAAACAAATTTTATGCAATGAGTAAATAGTTGACCTAGAAAACAAACATCTTGGTTTCATGGTGCCATCATATTTAGGCAGTTTGGATTCTCACACAAAAGGTCTAACTTATACTTCTTTAAAGGCCGTATGGTTTCTTTTTGGAACATTCTTTTATCTTGATGTACCTCAGTAGGAGATGAAGCGACAGTTGTGTCCTCCTTGTAACCCGTTTCCTAGGTCCACAAAACTCTTTAAGTAAATCAAACACTGCTAATATGAACAGTTGGCCTGTCATCAGATTCATTACTAATGTAAAACATTAAAGAATAACTTCTATTGCGTTTCTATAGAATAGGTCACACGAGCCGGCAGGCGATTCATCAAGGGCTGACTTGTTCCTGGTTTTACGCTACTCAATCGCATTGAAGAAAATATGGCACACCATAGTTGCCGCACGCTTGTTGCAATGCAAACTTTCTTTACAAACTTTTTTAAAAGTTCAAAAACAAATTGATTTCAACTACCATAAATTCATGAAGTCATTGTCAATTATTAAGCTGTTCATGTCAATGAATCTAATATGAAATGTTTATAACACCAGTTATCAAAGTGTGTCACTTTGGTCATTAATCCATGTATAGACCCCTTTACCATATGTCCGCACAAAACACTCAAACGACGCGAAATATTAACATCTTGCATCATATTTCATTTCAATCATTTTTTTGTTATTGCATTTTATTTTTGGTCATTATTAATATTCAAAAACTGTTCCCCCTATTGAAAGCAATAAGTGCCGAGGAGCAAGTAAAGACGTAGGAGCGTGTGTTTGTGCGGTACTGGAGAGGTATCCCCTATTTTTATTGTGCCAGACTGAGCGTCTGATGTGAAGCAGCCTCGTGTGCCTACTCTAGGCCTTGCCAGCAGATGTACCAGTCTCACCGTACATGCAAGCACGGCCAGGCAGCAGGATGCACTCGAGAAAAGCTCTTGGAAACTAGTTCTGTAGTCAGGAACAATGATAGTAGCTCTTTTGGTGGACGAGAACAAGAGGCGAGTAAACGGTGCTGAGTGTGTCGACGCACGTGATAGCTGCGGAGTTTACAAGTCTGCCTCATCAGTTTTATCATAGGGCCACACCACGTTGGCTGTATACATAAGCTGTGTCGATGCTGTTTTCGTCACTATGGTAAAATAACCACTGTAGCTTTATCTTACCTCACAGCACGCGATCCAACAACAATACTCTTCTCTTTTCGCCGGCAGGTGAACGGTGCAGCCCTCCGCCTGTACGCGTTCGCCATTGATTAATGCCTTTAAAGCCCTGCCAATTAACTATACAATTTAATAGACATGAAAAGAAGTATTTCATTAAAGGCAAAATCAAACTCAAGCCCGGTACCAGGTGGAACGGAGAGTTTCCTCCGCATTTGGAGGTCTCCACCACCGTCTGCTGCATCCTTATCATCATGTAACACCATATAAATTTTCATGCGGATTAAAAAATCATTCCATATTCTATTCATGTCCTTTATGATAGGTTGCAGTATCAATATGGGTTAATTTTACAACGCAATCGCCGTTTTAACAGTCTAGAGCCATCGCGCGCAAAACTTTCTACAAAAGTTTTAAATCCGCGCGCCTCTAGCGTTTACTGACGCATGCGCAATACACTCGCACAATGCAGCATACAATACGAGCGCCTTTTACTCAGCTCTCAGCGGAGTGTAGAACAACGCAAGCGCGGGGGAGTCGGCGTGCTGTTGTTGATTCCATCAAGTCAGCGCTTCAACACTACTTTAGCGACACATTATCCTTTTGTTACCGAAGTACTACACAATACATAGGTTTAAATCGATTCTTACAAATATACACAATGAGAATGTGAACTTACGTATGTTTCGCTTTCTTTGAAAAAACTCCAGACTTGAGATAGCTGCGGTTTGTGTGTAGCTTGTGTAGCGGTGAGGCGCGCTGTCCAACAGCACACAAAGTTTATTAAATATTGTCACGTAGGAAGGTAACAGGTAACTGAATATTTGTTAATGGTACAGGACGATAAAATATATTACTTAAATGCATTCATGCACATAAGATGTGTGGTGTGTTATGTGGTTTTGTTGTCGTACTTTGAATAAATGAACAATAATGGAACATTTAAACAAATACGTATATTGATATATATGTGTACGTGTGTGTAGGTGTGCGTGTGTGTGGGTGTACGTGTGTGAGTGTGTGTCAATAGAAATATATTTACCTCAGTCGTAATATTATTAATACACATGCCATTCATGGTGATAACGAATACCCTGACGAATTAAATCAGCGTGTACCGAGAGGGGGCCTGCACACCAATCACGAGGGACGTCCTACCCCACTAAATCACAATCGGCACGTGCAGGACCCGTGCTTAAATTGAAAATACCAAGAGTGACCAAACTGTTAAAGAAAACAACATCCCAACCATAGTATATGGAATATGAAATAAATTAAAATAAGTCAAGAAATTGTTTTTATTTGTCTGACGTTCGGTATTAAACTTCATATATACTGCTTTCAGTGCCAGCATTAGGTATTTATCAAAGTTGATATACATATCACTATCGACAGGCTTTTCTGAAGCATGCTGCAGGTTAAGCGCGTGCAGTGTGAAATCCTATTACCTCCTTGACTGAAGAGTCAAAAATGAGAGCGAGTCTGCCTCGTTCTCGAACAGGTAAGATGGATGGGATGACTGCAGTATAACAAGTAAATAGAACATAGAGACTAAACCAACTTTTACGCATTGTATGACTGTGTCATTCCTGTATACAGTACATAAATTAAAGCACAAACAGTGCCTTCCTGTGCACTGTATAACTCGCCCTAAGAAGCCCACTCGAAAGTTGAACCATTATCCTGACAAAAACTTACTTGGGTCGGTTTCCAAGACCATTGTTATGAAGGTTGCGAGAATGCCACTCATAGGTTAATTCCCTCTCGACAGTTGTCAAGTATGTACCGAGAGGAGGACAATGGCCGTGTGATTAAATATCTCTATCTAAAACCAGTATTCACTTCCAAGTCAATAATATGCTACTTAATACAAGTCATTTCAAATACATTCAAACATGTTTCCGCACAGATTTGTTTGTATAAATATTTAGAATCAAAATAATTCGCATTTTAAATCAGAGTAAAAATATTTTAAAATGACAAGTGAAAACTATTTCGAATATTCTGCTATTTCCGTGGTATGTTTGAGCGCCAATATTTTATAAAGTACATTTATTGTTATAGACAACTGGATGAGAATTGAAGCAAACGTGGCTGATATGTATATAGCACCCCTATTAACCAGCATATGTATGTCACCGCCGAGTAACTATATGTGTACATCATTTCGTTTGCTAAACTGTACCCCCCCCCACCCCCCCCNACCGGAGTTTTAACAATGACACTGCAACACATTTGAAATATGTCGCTGGGACAGACATACTGGACACATCTTTAATCTCTCGGGCATGGAATGAATGATCATTTTCGAGGACGCATACCATAAGGCTAGACATATTTGAAATTGTCCGCTTTCAGAAACTCATCATAAAGATCGGATAGTTGGACATCTTAAACAAAGCAACATACGAAATGAGACATGATGAACATCGGACATTTTCACAAAACATTTGTCGTACGTCGATGTTAAATTGATCTAATGTTGGGTAACCTAGTCATACCTAAGGGACGAAGGACTGGTTTTAAC